CAGAGGGCCCAGGAGGCTCCAAGAGGCCCCAAGAGGCCACGAAGACCCCAAACAGGCCACAGGACCCCCAGCACGCTCTAGGAGAGCCACGGCGACACCAAGAGGCTCCAGGACGGGCGTCATTCCCTCTCCTCCTCCTGCTCGTCGTCGTCATCCTTCTCCTCATCCGTCCTGCTTCAAATCCTTCCTCCCCCTCTTCCTCCTCCTTCTCCTCCTCTTTCTCCTCTTCCTCCGCCTCCTCCTCTTCCTCCTCCTCCTCCTCCTCCTACCTCATCCGTAGCCTCGATGGCTCCGATAGCGCCGTGCGCGAGATCCGCCTCCTCCCCATCCGTCCTCCTCCCTCCTCCCTCCTCCTTCCCTCCTCCCTCCTCCCTCCTCCCCTCTCTCGGGAGCGTCACAGAGAGGCCCTCCGAGGAAAATTTCACGACAACAAGGGCGCCGACCCGATGAACAGACACCACGTCGGGGCTCTGGGAACGGAGTTGAAGACGAAACCTCGAATAACTTAGTCTTCGATGTTCGGGGCATGTTTCTGACCACCTGCGAGCCTTGTGGAAACTTCCGAGAGCCTCAGGAGTGGACGTCTGGCGCAAGAACACGAGTGGAGGAGGAGACAACACGACGCTTGGTTTCTACCCCCGTGAGGGGCGTTACAGGGTACTAGTAATAGTAGTAGTAGTAGTAGTAGTAGTAGTAGTAGTAGTAGTAGTAGTAGTAGTAGTAGTAGTAGTAGTAGTAGTAGTAGTAGTAGTAATATTAGTAGTAGTAGTAGTAGCAGTAGTAGTAGTAGTGGTAGTAGTAGTAGTAGTAGTAGTAGTAGTAGTAGTAGTAGTAGTAGTAGTAGTAGTAGTGGTCGTAGTAGTCGCAGTAGTTGTCGTAGTAGTAGTAATATTGGAATAGTAGTTGTAGTAGTAGTATTGGTGGTGGCGGTCGTAGAAAAAGTAGTAATAGTAGAAGTCGTCGTCGTACTGGTAGTAGTCGTAGTAGTAATAGAAATAGTAGTAGTTGGAGAAGTAGTAGTAGTAGTAGTAGTAGTAGTAGTAGTAGTAGTAGTATAGTAGTAGTAGTAATATCAGTAGTAGTAGTAGTAGCACGAATAAATAATAATAATAATAGTAGTAGTAGTAATAGTGGTAGTGGTAGTGGTAGTGGTAGTAGTAGTAGTAGTAGTAGTAGTAGTAGTAGTAGTAGTAGTAGTAGTAGTAGTAGTAGTAGTAGTAGTAATAGTAGTCGTCGTCGTAGTAGTAGTAGCAATAGTAGTAATAAGATTTGTGGTAATAACAAGGTGCCAGGAAAACTGAACGAAAGGCCACCCTTTCATGGCTAGTTGAAGAGGAAGTTTGACAATTGCCAGTCTGGGGGGGGTGCGCCCCCACCTCCCCCCTACGGGTGCCAAGCGCACGAAACAAAAACTCGGGATCAGACAAACAGGCAACTGTAGCAGTGGGGAAGATGGCCTCAAGGGTTGCCAGCATGATATGGACGCTGGGGAGCAAGCGAAGATGACTCGCGCGGGGGCATGGGCACGCGGAAACGACGCCCTTTGCTCAGGTCATCCGAATACCTGAGGAAATCCTGACGCCTGCGATCACAACTGATGCACGATGACCAAATGCCCACCCAGAAAAAAGTAGAGCTCGAACTACCAATGCAGCGAAAGGTACCTCGCAGGTGTCGGCACCCAAGAAAAAGTGGACGCCTGCGACTCCTGCGGAAACAAAGAGCCCAATTCCAGTAACTAGTTAGCCCGTGAGATTGACGCGATGATGATGGCGACACTGATGATTAATGGTGATGAAGGTGGTGGCGATGACGGTGTTTTGTTTGCCAGGGCACTCCTGCGGCACAATCTCAAGGACTCCCCTGCCAGCCATAGCTCAGGGCTTCGCATTGAAAACCCAAACATGGCCACTCTGCTCCTCCAGCGAGAACCGGCCGCCCTGGGAACGCGGGCGCGGGCGCGGCCGCGTCGAGCGGGCCCACGACGTCGCCGCGCGCGCGGGGCCCCCCTGCGGCAGCTGGCAATGGTCTCGCCGACAGGGCGCCTACACTTACGCTCATTCGCCGTAAATGCAAAACGCTGACGTGTAAAATCCATAGTTGTGGGAGCTGGGGTCGGTTTCCCTTTGTTCACAGGGCTCGGGCAATGGCATCCACATGGGCCCACAATAGACAGAGCAAGAGCGGGCACGGCCAGGCGGAGCCTCGGCACGGCCATCACGACCGGTCGGGAGAGGGTCCTCTGCGCCATCCCCAGGCAGAACGCGCACACACACCCTGCCCGAGACAGTCTCGAGGGCCCATGGTGCTAAACAATTGTTTGAATGCCGCCGGCTCCCATGATCGACTTGCTGTCTACTTCCGCCGAGAGGGCGGTGCAGCTCGCAGGTGGGAGCAGGCGGTGAGGGCATGGGAGGCGTGCTGAAGGCATCCGCTTCCGTGCACATCTTTTCACCCATTGCTCACGCGCTGTGGCTGGCGCAAGGCTTCTGGACTGGACTTCAGGCCCAGGAAGACATCGTCGGCGCACGCTGGTGCGCTGCCAAAGCGACGCCCGAGACCTGCCACTCGCCCGATGGCGGAAAGAGCAAGGTGCGAGCGAAGCCCTCGAGGGAGGGGTCCAGGGGAGGGGGGCGAAAGCCGCGTGTTTGGCCGTTTCCCTTCTATTTTTTCGAGCGAAGCGGCTCGCGGGCGCCTTCCACGGCCCGTTTCCTCATATTTGTTCGAGCGAAGCGGCTCAAGGGCCCCCAAGGCGGCCCAAGAGGGTACCAAAAAGGACCAAAGACGGCCCAAATCCGGCCCCAAGAGAGCTTCAGATGGCCTCCAGACGGTTCAAGAGAGCCTCGAGACGGCTCCAGAGACTTTCCAGAGGGCCCCCGATCAGGCCTCAGGAGCCCAAGAACATTGATTTCCCTAGGGTTTTTGAAGGTTTGCGGGTTCTCGCCTTTTCGGGTCCAGACGAGCCCAACACGGCCCATGAGGTCCCAAAGCTCGTTCCAAGACGGCCCCAGAGGCCCCCCAAAGAGACGGAAAACTGTCCAAGAGGGCCCCCAGACGGCCCAAGAGGGCCCCAAAACAGCCTCAGAGGGCCCCAAGACGGCCCCAAGAGGGCCCCAAGACGGCAGAGAGCCCCAAGAGGACCCGAAAGGCTCCCACGAGGGCCCCAAGAGGCCCCCAAGAGAGCCCCAAGACGGCCAAAGGCATGCAAGACGCCCCAAGACTGCCCAAAAGGGCACCAAGACGGCCCAAAATTGCCCCAAAAGGACTCCCGAAGGGCTCCAAAGGGGCCCCGAGAAGACCCCGACGAGGCCCAAGAGACGCTCAAGAACACCATGGCTCCCATCAGCGAGCGGTGACGTAACAAGCTGTTGACACCAAGGGTCCCCAGAGCGCGGTGACGTAAAAAGCTCATCACACCAAGGCTCCCAAGAGCGAGCGGCAACGTAAAAGTCTCTGAACACCAGTGCTCCCAACGGAGAGCGGCGACGTAACAAGCTTTTCACACCAAGGCTCTCCAGAGCGAATGGTGCCATGAGCCATCTCGGGCAAGTTCCTGAGGCGCTCTTTGGGTTTCCGTGCCAGCCCAGGTTCGAGAATTTTCGGCACAAACAGTATCGAGGAAGGGTAATCCTGTTTCGGGCACCATGTGGATGACCCCAAGCTTGCTCCGACGCAGAGACACCGAATATATAAAACTAAGCCCACAGACGGGGCGTCAATTGCCAGGGTTCTGAAAACGGCAGTGCACGATCCAAAACAGGCCACCGCGAAGCAGCAAAAAGCGGCGGCAAAGTGCATCATGAAAATGGTGGCACTGTTGTCGACAGCCATGTTGCGCTGCAGGGCCCCACATACGGCATACGCAACACGATTAAGAAGCCATTCCTCGAAACGCTGGGCATCATCAATGAGCTCATTCAGACTTGCCGTTGAATAAACCACCGTGACACCAGTGCACTTCACATCACCAGTGAACACACTTGGGGGTCCCTTCGCAGACAAACAGCAGGTGAGGGCATGTCCACGGGAGAAACACATGTCGTCAACACACATGAGAAAACTCATTTCCTCAGGAAGGGAATGGCCACCATGTGGCTAGGATCCGATAATCGTCATAAAGTGAGCTGCCGGCCCAAGGGACCTTCTTCACCTGGAAATGCGAGACGATCGGCAACCAAGTTCCCATTCCACAGAGGGGGTCAGGAATGGAACAACGACATCCAAACCTATTCCCAAAAATTCCTCGAGGGTTGAAAACCCTGGAGTTCGAGCGGACTGCTCAACGGGAGAGCGCGGTTTGGCATGCGACGTAAGATTGGCGATTCGAGGGGATGGAATGCTAAATCTATCCCAAACTTTGTTGGGGGGTTGAAATGCCGTCGCACCGCGCAGCTAAGTAAGCACGTTTCTACGGTATGAAAAATCATGCCATGTCGAGCCCCCTTACTAGGTGGCACACTATATTTTTGAAAAAAAAATCGGTTATCCGATCTGATGTTTGTTTTACCCAAGGGGATCTCCAGAGGGCCCGCTGAGTTCCCAAGGCTTCGGACAGCAATCATCGGTGACCACGGCCCCGTGGCATACAACCGTGAGGTCGATTGCCAAACAGCGGAGAGAAGCGAGGAGGAGGGAGAAGGAGGGAAGAAAAAGAAAAAGGAGGATGCGCGCGGCGTCACTTCCCCTCCATTCCCTGCAGCACCACACAGCAGATTGTTGGCAATCAACGCGACTGGGTGTGCAAGGCCTCTCTGGCATAAATGCAGTAGCTGTCGATGCCAGGCCCTGCCTGCATGCACTCGCTGATCTACCAATCCTGCGAAGGAGAAGGGACGAGAGAGCCGTGGGAGCCTCAACAGCAGCGGCGGCAGGGAGAAAACGACAACGACGACGACGACGACAAGACTGAGAAGGAAGCCTAACCTCCTCTTGTCCCCATTCTTCGAGGGTGGGGGCATGCAGGTCGGGCAGCACAACAGTCGCGCTGACTGCAGCAGCTCTTACCCGATGGACGACTCGCCGTCATCGCTGGCGTCCTGGCGCGCGACGGGCGAAATAGAGTCGAAGCGGGGACGGTACTGTCGCGACAGAAGACGGAGGACACCCTAGCGGACGCAAGACCCTTCCAGGGGCAACACGGTACGAGCAAGCCAGAGGACACATGGTACAACAAGCCAGGGATGGCGAGGTCGGACCCAGACCTCTGGCGACTCTATCTTTCAGGTCAACAACCATCGGACCTCTCGACCACCTCACTTGGTCGGGACTTCAACCTAGGTCGGTTTTCGACGACCCTGGGCCCGGAAACGGCCCTGGAATGCCAAAGACTGAAAGAAAGTTCCGCCGCGTCCTTACTCGAGCCACGAGCCACCATGAACCCTTCGGGTGGGAGATCGACTACGGAATTGCTGTCCCCGAGACTTGTATGCCCCGTCGAATCTACGACGAATGACCCGAATGTTCGTAGATCTGCGCACACTCTGCGTACCTGTCGCAGGCTCGGCGGACAAGCAATATGGGGTACATCAATTCTGCAGTCGACCTCCGAGTCGAGCCAGGAGGTCCGAGGAAGGCCACACCTCACTGCTCAGGTAGCAGCCCCCCCGGACCCCAACAGGGGGAAATCATTGATTGTCCGATGGTTTTTGAAGGTCTTCGGCGTTCGCGTTGTTTCAGTTCCCCGACGCTCCTGGACGGCCCTAAAGGCCACCAAAGTCGCTCAAAGTCGGCCCCAGAGGCTTCCAGGAGAGCCCCAAACGGCCGAAGAGGACCCCAAGACGGCCCCCGAGGCGCCCAAGACGGGCCAAAAGACCCCAAAGACGGTTCCAAGAGGGGGCCCGAATGGGGGACCCGAACAGACATTTCGAGCCCTCCGCCCCGAGGGACCAAACAGACACAAAGACACCCACACAGACACACACACACACAAAAAAAAAAAAACTTTAATCACCGGCGCAGACAGTCCTCAAGCGCGAGCAGCAGATGGAAATGCGAACTGTCCTTGAACACTGTCGAAGGCACAATGTAAAAGACGCCCCACACTGAAAGTGCGACGATGGGTGGAGCGCAATTGGGACTGCGACCCCAAACGTTGACATGCAGCGGCCAGAAACATGAGGAGAAGACTCAACTCAGGTGAAATGAAGCGCAAGCAGACTGGTGCTAACTGGCGGCAACTGGATCACCGACACGACGGTGTACCGCAAAAGAAACTGCAACTGCTGACAGCCCAGCAGATGGTGGGACTAAGCACCAAACCCAGCGAAGTTATGCGGAGCTGATAAATAGGGTGCCACCCTACGGACCGGCAACGCAATACACGGCACAACCCTTGAATCAAGAAAAACAGCATAGATTGGTGGCGACGGGACGCGCAACAGGCGTGGAGCCTTGTTCATGCGGAGCCGAAACCAAACTACACAGGCACATACAAAAAACCAGACAGGGGACAGCATGGACGGCGAAAGATGATAAAAATGCGGCGTCGACGAGGACGGGGGAAGGGGGGAGGGGAGAACGAGAGGGAAGGAGGGAGAGCGCGAGGAAGACCGAGGACGACGAGTGTGAGATAGGCTGACGAAGCGAAGACGAACGGGCTGTCCCGGCGTCGCCCCAGCGCCCGTCAAGCACGAGCACTGCCCACGCGAGAACCGAACGAGACCAAAGTCCCACGCCAGAGTCTCGGCCATTCTCCAAAACTGAAGGGGCCCCAGGACACACAAATAAATACACACAAATAACGGGATTCCCCATATTTTCCCGTATTTTCTGAGTTTCTGTCTCCCCCCCCACTTCCCATATTTTCCCATATTTTCTAGGGAATCGAGGATTAATTGTGTCTGTGTGTTTCTTTTCCTCCTGAAAAACCTTTCCGCGCGGGCGCGCCGCTAGGTCCGCGGGCGGCCCGGGCCCGGGTCCCCGCTGAGAAACAGATCGTCGGACGCCGTGGTTCCGGAGGCCATCACATACAGTCGGGGCCTTGACCTAAGGAACCCAAAATAAGGAACGAGGCCCCTTTTTTTCCATAAGTTAAACTTCGATTTCCGATCGAAAACATAAGGAAAACCCGAGGCAAGCTGCGAAACACTTAAGGAACGCGGAGCCCCTCCCCAACGAAAAGGGTTCCTTCTTCAGGGCCCCGACTGTACACACGCAGCCACAGCCCACACATGACGCCGGCGTCCTCGTACCCACCGTCGGCGATGAGACCCTCGTGCGTGGTCCTGTCCTGCAATGCCGCGAGGAAACTGGCGTGGAAGATGGGCAGGCCGGTGCGGGCGACGTCGTGCCTTCGGAAATCGTGCGGGCTGGACGTATGCGGCCGAACGGAAATCTGGCGATCCGCGTCCGAATGGATGGCTTCATGGCGCTCTGCGAGACTGTCACCCCGCTGACCTCCCAGGAACTCACGAAGTGGCGACAGTTGCGCTGCTTGCAGCCCCCAGGGAGGTGAGGTAGAAGGCAGGTGGGGAAAGGCTGGTACGAACGCAGGTAGGAAACCAGAAGGAGGAGGCGGGAGGAGGGAGGAGAAGGTAGCAATACTCATTTCAAAACGACGGGAGTCGGCTACACACATGGGAACAACGAATACAAACATCAAAACTCAAACCTCCTCATCCTCCTCATCCTCTTCCCCTCCTCCCCCCTCTTAAAGGCTCCCCCCTCCTCAATGCGGCGGCGAGGCCGTCGACGACCGACGCCGCCCGTCCTCCGAAGTCTCGATGTCGGTGGTCTCGTCCGACTGGTGCCCGCCGGGTCGCCTCCTAAAGGCGGCGAGGCAGCAACAGGAAACTGGCGGGAGGAAGGAGAAGAAAGGAGGGAAGGAGAAAGGGGGAGGGAGGGAGGGAGGGAGGAGAAGAGGAGGAGAAGGAGGAGCAACAGCAGACGGACGCTGCACTGCCCATAGGGGAAGGGAGAGGGAGTTCTGGTTTGAGAGGCGAGGGGTAACAAAAGACAATCACGGGGGTCCATCGGCTGGCTAGACCTGGAAGAGGAGGAGGAGGGGGAGGAGGAAGAGGAACAGTGCAAACCCAAGACTCATCAACGATATTCTAACAAACCCACCCTCCAAATTCCCTCTTCATGGCTCAAATACTAGCTGAAAGAAATGCCCCGTCGGAAAACAATCGTCTGGAAATACTGGTGCCGTAACGTCATTCCTTGCACTTCAACGCAGCGAATCAACGTTACGGTTGCGCCCTGACGATCCTGAATCGCGCCAGAACCCCATTTGGGGGACTGCAACACTGCGAATAAATGTAACTGCTGCGCCCTGAAACTCCGACAGAATGCCAAGACACCATGTCTGAGACGTCAGCCGGAAGAGTGCCTGAATCTGCCGTAATCTGTGAAAACGAATGTGGATGTTCGCCGCTAACGCGAAAGCCACATGTTCAAAAGGTACCACCCCCCGTCCGTGCAAGCTCTTGCACATGTGTAAGACGAATGTGCTCGGCGCTAAGGCGAAACCCACATTTGGAAAACCGCCCGCCCTCCATCCTGGAAACTCTTGCAACTGTGTAAAACACGTGCGCGCGGCGCTAAGGCGAGAGCTACATGTTCAAAACAGCCCGCCCTCCATCCGTGAAGCTGCTGCACACGTTCAACCCGAAGACCACACATGGTGAGCAAAGCTCAGGCGAAACGCCCGGCCCGCCCTACCGACACGTCTCGGGGCGCGGCTGGCAGGAGTTGCTCAGAAGGGATGCAAGGGGTGGAGGAGGGAGGTTCCAGACTCGCCCCCCCCTGTTCTCCTCCTCCTCCTCCTCCTCCTCATATTCATCCTCCTCCTTTTCCTCCTCCTCCTCCTCATCCCTGTCCTCCTCCTCCTCCTCATCCTCCTCCTCCTGCTCATCCTCCTCCTCCTCTTCCTTCTCCTCCTCCTCCTCTCCTCCTGCGCCGCCGACATGTTCCCTACCTAGGCTCTGCCTAGAAGGGTTCTTACTCTCTGGGCTTACAGGGGCCGGGCAGTGGAAAGCGCCTCGGGCGGTTCCCCCAGTATCCGCCTCGCGGTTCCCCCAGTTACGTCCCCTTAGCTTAGCGTTGCTTATCTCATCTTAGCTTAGCTTGTTTCATCTTAGCTTAGCTCATTTCATCTTAGCATGGGTGTAATTCCCTACCTAGGCTCTGCCTAGAGGGTTAGCTTAGCTTAGCTTAGCATAGCGCAGCGCTGCATTAGCATAGCATAGCATAGCATAACCAAGTATAGCATATAATAGCATAGCATAGCATAGCATAGCGCAGCATATCATAGCATAGCATAGCATAGCATAGCATAGCGCAGTTTAGCATAGCATAGCATAGCATAGTTCAGTATAGCACAGCGCAGCATGATATAGCATAGTATAGTATAGATTAGCATAGCATAGCATAGCATAGTATAGCATAGCATAGCGCAGCATAGCATAACATAGCATAGCATAGCATAGCATAGCATAGCATAGCGCATCATAGCATGGCATAGCACAGCATAGCATAACAGCGAATGCTGCTTTCCTAGGGGCTCCAACTTCTAGGTAGGGTCGCACTGGGGTAATTTATATCTACTTCCGCGGGGTCGAGCCCTGGGGAAACGGCGTGCGGTGGGCATGGATATTTGCCCGCCCATGCGGGCGGGCAGATATCTACATCCACCAGTCCTCGAGATCCCAGAGCACGACTCCAAAGGTGGGCATGGCCATGCTCTGGCGGTGAATCTTCCTGCCCCATCGCCCCCCTCCTCCTCCTGCATCATCGCCCGTGGCCTCAACCCCCTAGGCCGATGAGTGATATATTCTCGCTCGTGGTTCGCTCGTTCGTAGTTCGTCCTTGGCTTCCGTACCCCCCTCCCCTGGCCTCCCCCCCCGTCCATATATGTTCGCTTATGTTCGCTGGAGGTCCGCAACCGCGCTTGCAGCAGTTGGTGTGCGTCAGGCCCTTTCTTTTTTCGCTACAGCCGCTTCTTGCGAAACAACAATTGGAGTCCCCCGACACATCCAGTCCAATCCGCTGTTGCTTCTTG